GTTTACAGTTTTAGGGAAAGCCCTGTAATTGCTTCTACATTATTTAAAATTATATCCTACACTTACTCTTACATTTTACTTTTTCCTTGTCCACTTATGAACCAAAACAATTAAAGTTCATTAGCATATGACCACTTTCCCTTAGAATCATAGAGGGTGTTTTTGTTACTGAGCCTATGAGACTCATATATGTAAATTAAGTCTGCTCTGATTGGCTATCCTGTTTTGTGCCTCATTCAAAGTCTGAGCTGAAACACTCTTTTCATAACTTCAGCGTGAAACGTTGGGCCTAAACTGCTGTGGGCTGATAGTTGGATAGGCTTTGTGATACCACAAAACAACAAATTCAAAACAAGGTATTTTTGCAGCTTAAATTATATATATGGATTGTGAAGAGTGAATGGTTTTGAGCAAGGTTTGCATAGTACGTCAAACGCTTATTTCCTAAAAGCAAGCATCTAAAATTAAATTTTCATGATAAAGGTCCTTTAAAACAGGTTCTTTAAATGTAATTTACAAATAAGTATCTTTAAAGAACTATCCTTTGAATGGTGCTTTAGGGAATCAAAAGTGTTTATTCTATGGCACTGCTCCAAGGAAGCCTTTTGACACAGTTATCACTATTATGTTTAAGAGTGTGCTCTGTCGAACAAATGATCCTTCTAAAACACCTTCACATTTTTTATTTTGCATACCTCCATGTACATTTTACTTTTGCATAAGTGTTTGTTTGTATGGACACAGGTCGATAAATCTCTCAGATAAATAGCCATTGTTCTCCATCATTTCCACATGTGCCAACTGTTCAATAATTAGAACGGCGCCTCGCAGGATGCTGAAAAGGAGCTGGCAGTGTATGTGCATGCACATTACTGTGCAAAGTGCATTACAGTACCGATGCCCTTCAGTTCTCTTCCGTCATCCCCCTCTCCACCCCCTTTCTCTTTCTGGGTTGTGTCCTCTCTGGTCTTGTCCCCCAGGTGGGATGTCTCCCTCAGCAGATGATGTGATTAGGCCTGCAGTGGCCTGGCCACCTTTTCACCCACATATACATTTGTGTCACTCTCTCCCTGTCCCGGCCTTTATTTCATTATGGCCGGGTGGCCAGCCACAAGGGGACTCTCTATGAGGAGCCCAGTGTGTCTCTTTCAGCAGATGTCCTAACAGCTCTGCAATCATAAAGGAATCAACTCCATTACATTCAATTCTCTGTCAAGCGCTGTTTTTCACTGTCAGCATGCAGGTTTTTCATGGCGCTGTAATAGAGACAGACAGACAGTGGCGTTGGTGAATGAACTTACTCTAAAGTATGTATTTTCTCTGCTAGATGAGTAAAACAGTCTATTGCCGTATCTGTTCTATAGGCATATCCATGCTTTGCCTACAGATATGTTATTTTGTAGCAGCTGTAGCTGGGTTGGGCAAAAATCCCATTCAACATAATGGACTTGGTTGGGGTTTAAATTCTCTACATAACGTTGGGTTTCTAGATAAAAATGCCCAAGCTGGACTATGCTAATGCTACCTCAGTGGTAACATCACCTCAAGTGCATAAGCTCAGATGCATTACAAAAAAGTTACCCTGTGCACCACGATTTCTCATTAGTTTAAACAGAATTTTTGCAATTTTGTCCAATCTTGCAATATTTGCGACAAAAGAACGCATTTGTGGGCACGAATAAGTACAGCTTTCATATGCCTTTCTCATTTCTTCTCCATCCCGACTGTCTATGTCTTTCTTCGTCTGCTCCTGTGTTATCCATCATGTCCTAAGACAGAGCAGGTGGTGTTGTAAACTTTCACTGCGTTTTTTTTCTTTGGTGACAGACTGAAGCTCTTTCTCTTCAACACCACACACACTCACTCAGTGTTTGGTGTGGTAAAGCAGCTGGTTTCTGTGATGTTGGGAAAACAGAACCAACCCTTTCCTCTCCTGCAGCATATCCCCTACACTGTACGTTTGATTGGTGGGAAACACAGGTAGAGAAAGAAAGAATTCCCCCCAGTCCTAGCAATCAATATGCACGACTGGACGACTGGTCATTTGTATTCTACAAGTGCAGCAAAGGGGGGTGGGGGAAGTAGAGACAGGAGTTAGAAAAGCAAAGGTTAATTTCATACATCAACTTCCATCTGCATATTTTTTCCAGCCAGAGTGGTGTGGCCTTTGTGCCATTTTGCTCTACTGTTCTTATTTGACTGACAGCAGGGAATGGCAGAGATGGGTTGCGAAGGTTTATGGCTTACTCTAACTTCCACAGGCCATATTTACCTACTAAAATTAGTGAACGGTAGACATACACCTCCATGGAAGAATTATCCATAGCCTACATAGCTTACTTAGCATTTCACAATACATATTATTTATCTAAGTAAGCTAGTAGCTTCTAATTTGTGATCCAAATATCTATTAGAACCAGAAAACACCTCTTCGCAGTAATGCTACACTTGCACTCTGGTGTTAATTTACAGCGGGTGTCTCTTCTCTCCAGCCACACAACTTTCCTTTTAGCAAAACTGCTAGCGCATGGGCCTGAGTGTAAAAGTTAGTCAGGCCACTGGATGACAGCTCTCTATCTAGCGGGTGTAATGTGTCCTCAGTGAACGCTAAAGTGCTAAACATCAGTAACTGAATCCACACAGGGCCGGAAGAGCCCCAGCCCGAGACGCCATTGTACCGCACCGTCAACAAAGCAGCAATCTTCCGTTTAGCCTGTGTGAGACTTCCTCAAGGAAACCATCAAATATTCATACGCTGCTAGCCTCCTTATTCACCACGGCCCTGTTGCTTTTGGCATTCAAATCCTACATCAGACATTAAAAGAGTGCATTTTTATGATATCATTGTACCAGCCGGCCTTTCACCTGCGCCCATGTCCTTACACAGCGCTACATTAACTAGTGTATAGGTAATTTGAATGCTAACTGAGGGAGATTAGCTGTGGGACGTGTGGGAGTGGAGAATGGAAGTTATTTCTTGAATAATCCATTTTGATATGCATCTGTGTTCCTGTAAGAATTGTGGGTCTTATCAGAGAAATGCAAGGGAGGGAAATAAACCTCCCGCTGTAGCCTATTTCTACAGCCTATTTCTATTTCACTTATACATTCACTGTCCCTGCTCCCCTCTAGATTGGTGGGAAAAAAGTATCTAGTATCAGTCTTAAGTCATTTTTTTCCTGATACCTTAGTAAATTGGTCACGTTTATATAAGCTGTGTTTTATTAATATATTTGTTTGCTTATTTTTAATAGGCTTTAAATCCCCATGCTTGGAACAATTACCTAATATCTTTTTTTTTCTTTCTCAAACTGCAAAACATTGAGTCTATCCTTTTTCTCAATTGCCTACACATTTTGTGAACCACTGAGCTGCTGGAGATTTATCAAAGTAAGAGTGCTGATTTAGGATCAGTATTTTCAAATCTTTACGAATGTGTTTATTAGGACAAGGAAGCTCATCTTTGTCCTAAAGATCTGCAATCAGTACTCTGCTATGCTTGGTAAATATTGGCCAATGTGTTTAATTTTAACATGCCAAGTTATACACTGTGTATAACATACAGATATATTGAAAGCAGAATTAATTTAAAACATGATTTGATAATCATGCATGAACAATCCTCAGTGTGAAATAGCCACCATAGTGTTTCACACACATTAACCATATGAATGTTTTTCTTAATCAACAAATTGTCAGACTACAAAACTAACAGACATCACTGCAATCACAATGCAACATATGTTCAAGTAGAATATTTAATGTTTACTACTGAGAGGAAAATTTATATTCATTTTGGTTATTTATACTTTTCTTAGTTTGCCCAAAAAAAGAACAATTCAGACATCAGATATTTTCACATTGTGGATTTGGCGAGTGTAGGTCATGAATAATGCTTTAAAATAGTGAAATGTATGTAACAGGTATAATATTAATAGACAGTGTATACACTTATATATAAGTTTGCACACCTCTGGTCAAATAACAGGTTTTTTTTTCTATATTAAAAAAGTCAGCATATCCTAACAAACTTAAATAAGGCATTTTCTTGCACATAGTAGTGCAGCATTTCTGTTATTTGCTGAATTTAACAAAAAACTTAGATATAAAAAAAACCTTAAATACAAAGAGTTCCATAACTTTTGCACAAACTTTTCTTCATTTTCAATATTAAACAGTATTTGTGCATGAATAATGTGCAGTTTGTTCTCGGTAGAGGATGCAGACTTATTTACACTTCAACAAACTCAACAAAACATGTGGCCAGGGGTGTGTAAACCTTTACATACAACTGTATCATAATTTACAAAAAAGACATCTTCACATATCAAGCATATAGATTGACACAGTTCTTTCTAATGTCAGCTACAATTTAAGTAACACGTAACACTTTTGAATTTTGCTCTCCAGAAGAAGTGAAAATCATCCAAGTGATTATTGTTTGCTTTGATGTGAAGTTTGCTTGAGCACAAATATCTGTCTGTTGCAGGTCATTTTAAATATAGATTTGCACAGAATCCATGGAAGTATATAACATACAGCAGATTACTTATTGAATTATCTAATAAAGAGCAAAAATATGAATGTGCTATATATAAATAAAAATAAAAAGTAAAATAAAAACTTCTGCCTGCATCCTCAGATGCTGGGGTGATTGGCTGCTGGGCATTATGCTCACAGATGTTCTCTTAACAAGCAGGAAAAAATAGTTCAGTTGGAAGAAGAAAGGTAGACTGAAGGTTTAGAGGTGATGTGGAACCTCTTAGTGGATCCATGTTTTTTAAGTACTGCTCAGAAAAGTCTATACTGCCGTAATTTATCACAATATGATAAAATATCATCTTGCCCATGCCTATATGAAAATCATATTCAATTTTATTCCTCAGTGGTAGAGAAAAGCACTTCTATCTGTTTTTGTGCATGCTAATATACAGCATTATGCATTTAGGAAGGTACATTTCCTGTGAATCTCTGCTGTTGAGTGCTGCTCTTCTCTCCAGTCATTTTATAGTGTTCTGTGTGTTCCCGCTGGTCTGGGAGACTGTCAGCGCCACGTCAGCCTGAGTCCAGCCCTCTGGCGGTTGTCACACCGACAAGTGTCCGAACTCAGTGAGAGCAGAGGTCAGTAGGGTCAGTGTTCGTGACGAGCATTTTGACACTAAAGGTCACTGAAGGCGAAGCCTTTCACTCAGTTATGGCACAACTCACCCAACTCAGCCCGACAGCTCCATGGCTCAGAGACTTCACAGCAAACACAACTATCAATCTCTGTCCATTCTAGGAGTAACACTGTTAGAGATGAACTTGCTAAGGCATAAGTTAAAAAGAAAGATAAAATTAGTGACTTCAAGAAAGTGACACCTGCTCTTCTTTCCACAGAAATATAGGTTAAGGTATGTGTGTGTAAGAGCAGCTTTGTGCTTTTAGTGTGCACATGTGGCCAAGCCACAGCGTCTTGCGGTTGTTATATTGTCTGAGGTTGAGATTTAGAAAGCCTGTGTCGGCACTTTGGCTCCTTCTTTCCTTCTGGGGGAGAGGATATGAGGCACATTTCTTAAATGGAACAATAAATTGTGCTGTTTGCTCACCAAACAATAGTTTTCTCCGTCACACCTTCTCCAACCACACTGTCTCGCTCTCTGTCTCTCTCTTTCACACACACATAGTGCTGGGTGATATATCGTCAACACTGATACACTGTTGTCAGACCAGAGGTGATTTTAGTTTTAGCTGTTATGATAGATAACAGAGACTTAGTAAACTGACAATGTGTTATTAGCTGGATACTTTTTTTTAAAAGAACTGCTTTAAATGCGTAAAACTAAATAAATATTAAGCTTCCTTTCCATAAATATGGTGTCTGTGTAGTTAACATTTATAATACTATATAATGTTGGGTCAATTTCAAGGCTGTCAGGTTTATAAGACATTCCCATGCTTTTTTTTAGTATTAGTACTCAGGAGGTTGGGGTTCATTAACTTTATTAGTGTTTAGCATAATTAATCTAAGCTTTAATATTGTTAGTGCAACTTTAACTATCATCTGAATCTATGATAAATGTGGAAATATTGTGTTATTGAATTTTCTCAACATCAACCAGCACTACATACACACCTCAGCAAGCGCATTCCAACAGCCCACTTTGGTCTACAGATTCATTGTGGAAGGTATTTAATTTACTAATTGTACATTGTTATCCACAAAAAAACTTAAGTGAATTAGTAGAATAACTAAAAGAATTGGACTGCCTTGCATTGAAGTACTTTTACACTTCTTTAAATGTAGTGATGCATGTTTGTATATATGTATCTCTTTTTCTGTCTCTCTGCTTGTTTCTGATGTGTGTCAGGCCAGCCACATGCCCTAATTGTTCTGATATGAGGTCAGGGAGGCTGCTGTTTCAGTTTAGCCACTGTGTGTGGAAGTGAGCCTTATTGAGTGTGTGTGTGGGGATTGCACAATCCTTAAAAAACCTCAGCGACGATCTCTCTCTCTCTCTCTCTGTGCAGTAGATTCTAATCTGTCAGGCACTTTTCTGAAAGACAATGAAATGCCAAGCTAAGCTCATATGGTGTGTGTGTGTGTGTATATACACTGTCTGTCAAAAGACACTGTGACTGCTTTTGAAATTAATTTTGAAATTTGAGGAATATTTGATTTTCACTGTTAGTTGAACAGTTGTTTGTATTCTACTTTGGGGAGAATCTATTTCATGTTCATCAAATTGTCTTTCTTGGTACGAAGAGCAGGTTTTCTCTAAATCATGATGTGACCATGTGTTTTCATTTCCAAACTATTGTTAAAAGCTCATGTTGAAAATCTTTTGGCCTGAAGTTTAAACAGCTAAATTTGAGTATTGATGAGCGCTGACATCAGAAAAGTGCTGCAGTGTGTGGGGTTTGGGATTATTCCTAAATTATTGCTGTCACAAAAATTAACCCTTAATGGGCAGTGTATGTGTGTATGAGGATGAGTGAATGTGCGTGAGTGTATTCTTTGTTACTTTACATATACAAGTGTGTGTCTCTTCAGCGTACTGCGGCCTGATAAAGTGTTGTTGTACATGTTCACCAGATCTTACCTGTTTGACTTAAGGAGATAAAAGAGTTTGTAATTTATTATTTAAAATTCAAAAATTTCTTAAAATTTCTTTCTTTTTTAATTCTTAAAAAAATACACCAGGACCATTACAGAGCAGGGAGTGGAGACACACGCACACGCACACACTCCCCGTGCCTTGCACGTGAACAGTCAAGCATTGGCTTTGTAATGAAGCAAAAGGGGGTGAATTTTGGCACAAGGTGACTAATAAAGTAGAATTAACAATGAAGACAAGTAAGACAAAGATAGATATAGAGATGTAGAGAGACAGAGAAAGACAGTGAAGAAAAGATGATATAAGGGGCAGAGAAAGACAGAGTAGAGGGCTGAGAGAGTGGCAGCAACTTACAGGTGCTGTATGTGTGTGTGTGTGTGTGTGTGTGAGAGAGTCGCTCTGTCTGTGTGTATTATTTAAGAGAAGTCATTGGAGAGATCATGTACCGCTTAATATTTTATCAGCTTTCTCTCACTGATCTGACGGCAACCCTACTGTGCCCAGTCAGCTGGACTAACCTCTTTTTCTCTCTGTCTCTCTCTACCATGCTCTCTCTCTCTCTCTCTCTCTCTCTCTACCCCCCTCTTTTTCGTTCTTTCTCTCTCTCTCTTTTCTCTTTTTCTCTCTCCACTCCCTCTCTCTGTCTCTCTCTCTCTCTCTGTCTTTCCGATAGTTGTATAGTGTTACTGTGCTGTTTCCTCGTATTAGCAGAGCTATCAGGCCCAGCCATCGATCTCTGCTGAGAGTACACTGAAGAGTAGCCCTGCACTACTGCTGCTGTCTCTCTACAGGCATCTCTCTCTCTCGCTCTCTCTCTCTCGCTCTCTCTCTCTCTCTCTCTCTCTCTGTGTGTGTGTGTGTGTGTGTGTGAGAATATATGTATTGTTGGATATCGTTGCTGTTCTATTAAGACCTTGTCTCCCCCAAATGGTTACTTTAAAGAAGAAAAAATGTTCCTAATTTTAAGCATATTAAATACATTAGTATTTCACTAATTCAGTTAGTACATTAATGTAATGACAGTTTATTCAAAGTAATTTTGGATTATTTGATTCTTTCATCATGAAACAAAATAACCCCATAAAAACAGAAAAAGGAGGTTTGTATAGCATGACAGTGACCATATGTACCCCTGAGCAAGTGCATGTGAGAGACGGTCTGTCCTCAGTTATCTTGCCCGGCCTGTGTGCCGTGTAAATAAGGGAGATGTGTCCAAGCAGAGCACACAGTAACAGCACATGGGGGCAGTAAGCAGTTAGAGAAGAGACAAGGGCTCATAAATGAACACACACACACTGCGAGCTCATATAGAAGGTGATCTGAAGATGGTCAGAGAGACAGTTTATTTTTGTTATCTCTCTTCATTAGCTGAGAAAGGGCACAACAGAAGTGTAAACACAGAACACACCCACGCTTATGCATGCACATACATGCGTGCGTATGCAGCTGAAGGTCAGCAGTATCAGTGACTGTTTTACACCTTGCCCAAAAGGTCATGGAATAGTTCTTTATTAATATTCTGCATGATGTGCTAATATTAGCTAAACTCATTAGTGTAACTGATCTTCTCTAAATAAAAAACATTCAAAAATATACTAATGTAATTAAATACAGTGACTTGTATTAATGACACCCACTCTCTGCCCAGAGAAGTTACAAATCCAAATTGTTAACATAAATAGAATCACATATCTATAATTTTTTCATTGATTTTTTTTTTAATTGAAGTCCGTCTTTTATCATGTTCTCAAATGCAGCTCCCTTTTAACTGGTAGATAATTATTGTCCTAATTTATGCATCACTTACTTTACTGTTCTGGATGGTACGCTGCTTTTGCAATACCGTTACTAATATTGAAACTTTGACTTTTGATTAGTCTGATGTGATATTTTTTCTTTAAAAACTACTAAACTTTATAATGAGCTATTTTTCAATGAATCACTTCATCTAAGATGATCATCTAAAAGTAGATCATACTAAAACTACTGAAGTACTCTACTGCCCCACAGGAAGTAATGCACAGTTAACAATGTCACATCACACAGTGTGAGTTAGTGCTATTTCAGGACAGGATTGGATCACATTCATTCTTTTTCTTTCATCTGAGGCTTGATTGTCATTTCAGCTGTATACAAGTACACAGCAAAATGAAACGAAACATTCCTCCAGGTCCATGGTGTAACACAAGAACACAACTGCAAAACAATACAATATACACAGTGCAGACAATACAGTACAATAAACATGGAAAAACAATAAATACAAAAACAGAACAGAGGCAGTACACGGTACTGAAGAATATGTGGAGTGGTGCAAAGGAGGATGTAACATACTATGACATATTAGATAGCCTAGCGTATATGAGCATAGCAGTCACTGAGGTAGCAGGCAGAACAGCAATGGAATACAGTATTTGGTTGATACAGTATTCTAGCAGCTAATATTGATAAATAAATGAATTGTGCAAAAAGATCCAGCATGTTCTGCTGATATCGGGCCAATAACGATGCACAATATTGGATCAGTACCATCTCCAGTGGATGGTGCACAGACATGGTAACTATTCACTGTTTTTTACTACATAACATCATGATTATTTAAATTTCTCAGTTATTTTCACTATTATTAATGTACACTTACATGAGATCGCCACCTATTACACTGCCTCCTCAGTGTCTGTGTGTCTGATATCTTTCCTGTATCGAAACAACTCAACCGACAGATACGCTGTTATAAAGAAGGAGAAACTTTTACAAAGAGTATCCTCTTACTGTTAAAGGCTTTGGAGTTTATTTCAGTAACACACCACTTTCCATTTTTATTTTTATGTCAGGATTCCTTCCGTAGTCAGAAGATTTTACTTTTTGTTTTGTGGCACATGTATGGATTTGGGCAAAAAAAAAGTGACCAAACACTTGAGTGTAGATATCAGAGCTGTGCAACTAAAGTAATAGAAATAATAGTATATACATACACATACACACACACTCTCAGAGGTCCTGATCTGTGTGTGAGAGTACTTAAGCTTCAGCTATCTCTGCTTTAGCTGTGCTGACGGCTGAGAGACTGAAAAGCCAGCAGTGCCCCAGCTTTAGATAAAGCACCCCACTCTCACTGTTGTCTCCGGCCTTTGTCTCCAGCACATGCTGGTGTTTTTGTCTTCGTTATCACTCCGTACGTTTGTGTTTGGCTTGCAACAGTGCTGTGAAACACTCCGACTGAACCCAGGGTCATTCAGCAGAGTGAACGTTAATTATGCACTCGTATAATTTGTTTATCACAAACACAGACACTTAACTCTTTTAGAACGAGACCGATTTATTCTGGAAATTAGACTTTAATTATATCAATAACGGTGTTAATTATCTCACTTGTGCGGCTGTACAGTATAGCGCACTGCCGCCTCTGTCTGTATATGAATTGTACAGTAAACAATAATAGCCCATAAATTAATGTGCTTAGTAGCTATAAATAGTCATTGTTTACGGTGGATGCATGCACATGAAAGAGCTAGTGTATGTAATTGCTGTATGTAGTTAATCCTATACAATAGCCATTGCTGTCCATCTGTCAGCTTGGAGAATGTGCTATATTTCACACGGTGCCGTGTGTGTGTGTGCAGAGATGGAGGTCCAGAGCTGTGTTAGGGCACGGCAGTGGCTGGCTGAGGTACTGCACTGACTGTGTGTGTGTGTGTGTGTGTGTGTGTGTGTGTGTGTGAGAGAGAGAGAGAGAGAGAGATTTGTTTTGTTGAGCAGTGTATGTAAAAAGTAATGTAAATGTAAAGGTAGGCCCAAAGGTATAATGTTCTGCATTTTTCCCCTTTGTTTTCTTTTGTTTTACTATTTTGAAGTTCCTGTATATCAGGGTTGGGCTCTGATTTTAATGCTGTGTAGAGCAATCCTGAGCTTTGGAAAGGCACTCCACCCTCAACAGTGATGTGTTAATTAACAATACTCTATTTGTGTTATCTATTTTGACTCGTTAAATGGCCATTGAGTCCAAACTTTTATTACACATTTCTATAACTTAGGAATAACTCATCCAGTTAGCTTTGTAATCCATAATAACTCTTAAAATTTAACACATTTTGTGTGTATATTGTATAAAAATTACTTAAAAGCAACACAAAATATGTAGAACTTAACTCAGTAGAACCGTTAAGAAGATTATTATTATTATTATTATTATTATTATTATTATGCAAACATGTAAAACCTGAAGTCAGATTCTTCACTAGATCTCCACTCTGAGCTTTTCC